AGACCTATGAATATAATATACAGGCTAACGTACTGCAAATTAGACTATCTTTTAACGAACCTACTACCTCCTAGCTGGGGCACTCCTTCCAGTGGTATCGAGCGAGCAAGAGTGTAGGCCCGGAGCAGCAATATCCGTACGCTAGGCTTTTAGAACTGCAAATACGATGTAAAGCTAACGTAGTGCAAATTAGACTGTCTTTTGACGAACCTACTACCTACTAGCCAGGGCACCCCTTCCAGTGGTATTGAGCGAGCAAGAGTGGACCCTAAGCAGCGCGATATCCGTATGCTCACACTTATGACCTGGTGCTGTACACTCCACTTTCTCTACACGGAGCTACCACGCTGCTTCAAAGGAACTCGCTGCTCCGAACAGCAGGCAGATATTAGGGCTTTATGAGAGGCTCACCGCCGAGGCTCCTCTATCACTTCCATATTCTACATTCTTCGCACTACCCCGCTCTAAGGGAGCTCCCTGCTCAGAATAGCAGGCGGGAATTGAGGCCTATATAAAAGACTCAACACCAAGGTTCCTCCATCACTTCTACACTCCACTTTCTTTGCCCGAGCAGGCAGGAATTGGGCTCATATAAAGGGCTCTACACCAAGATTTCTTGATTACTTCTACACTCTACACTCTTCATACTACGCTGCTCCAAAGGAGCTCACTGCTCCGAATGACGGGCAGGAATTAGGCCTATATAAGAGACTGAACACCAAGGTTCTTCCATCACTTCTACACTCCACTTTCTTTGCCCGGGCAAGCAGAGACTGGGGCCTACTTAAGAGGTTCAGTACCAAGGTTCCTTCATCACTTCTACACTCCACTTTCTCTGCACGGAGCAACCACTGACACACAAGTTTCAGAGCTAGGCCACACTCTACATTTTCCGCACCACTCTGCTCTGAAGGAGCTCACTGCTCTGAATAGCAGGCAGGAATTGGGCCTATATAAGAGGCTCCACGCTAGGGTTCCTCCGTCACTTCTACACTCCACTTTCTCTGACGGAGCAACCACCAACACACATGTACCAGAGTTGAGTGTTGACTGAAGCTTCGGCATAGCCCGCAGATATCCTTTGCTCCACATTCTTCGCGCTGCGCTGCCCCGAAGAGCTCACTGCTCCCAAGGAGCTCACTGCTCCGAATAGCAGGCGAGAATTGGGCCTATATAAGAGGCTCAACGCCAGGGTTCCTCCGTCACTTCTACACTCCACTTTCTCTGACGGAGCAACCACCAACACACAAGTTCCAGAGCTGAGTGCTGATTGAAGCTTCGGCATAGCCCGCAGATATCCTTCGAGTATACTAGAAGCTCGGTCACTAGGTGAGTCGGACCTCTCCTTTTTGACCCAAGCCTTTTACTTACGAGCCTGACCTGCTGACCTCATCAGGGTTTACCCCTTGCGTGTATACGTGCTTGAATGCTCGGAGGCCTTCTAACGGCATCGTCGGCACGGCGAACTGACCAAGTCTCGGCCCGAAGACGGCGACTGCGCTACCTAGGTAGATACATCTACCTATCCTTCTTCACCAAAGCCCTCCACTCCTAAGACTGACCTACGAACTTCATCAAGCTCAATCATCTGCGTGCACACCTACTTGTCTGCGCGGAGCCCTCCTGGTCGTGCGGCTTGCCTGGGAGACTGATACGACTTCTGCGCGGCACGTGGTCTATTGGGCCCGTCACGCCTCAAGAAGGGCAGTTTCGAGCACATCCGTGCGCAGCTACACCTCGCAGTCTCCTCTTCATTCACCTGCGCCAAATTGCTCGCAGTTCGCCAGCTTCTCCGAATGCCCTGCGCAGCGGTGACATATCGTTGACTGCAGCTCAAGTCAGGAGTGGAAACCATCCGAGTTGCGGCGGTGAAGCGGTTTTCTGCTCGGGGGCTGGGAGGTGCGAGAGTACTTAACCTGCCGTTGCCCGAGTGACTGTCGTCCTCAAACCCTCGACCGAACAACAACCTCACCCGACTGCTTCCACCCTCCTGCTTCCACCCTCCTGCTTTCATCTCCTCAACTCAATCATTCCTCAACCAACGGGCGAAATGTCGTCCACCGTCTCTACCCAGATGGACCCCGTCGAGGAGCATGCCAACATCATTGCTCAACAGTTCCTTGCCAATGGAGCGAATTCTGTCGCGTACCTCGGCGTCGACAACCTGACGAGCTTCGACCTTGAAGCCCATCGCAAGGTCATCGCGCGCATTGAGGAGCTGTTCCATTCTTCCGTCAAGTCTGAATTCATCGCTGCAGCCGGATATTGGAGCTTCAAGCTTTCTAGCCACTGTGCTCCCCAGTCAGAGGAAATCGCCAACAAATCTGCGACCGCGAAAATCAATCCATTGGAGCTCTCTGAAGAGCTCGCAAAGGCCCGCCTCGCAATCCTCCGTGGCAAGAAGAATTCAATCCCACGCCCGATGAATAGATGGATGTTGTGGTCGACACCGCGTCGCCCTGAATACAAGGCTCGCTACCCCGAGTTGACCAACCAGCAGATCTGTAAGTCCTCGTCTCCCTCTCTCACCTTGTCTTGTAACCAATCTTCCTGGTAGCTGGTCGCATGGCTGTGGATTACCATAAGCTACCGGCCGAAGAAGTCAACTTCCTGCAGAAGCAGGCCGACCAGACAGCTCTGATCCATTCTATCCTTCATCCTGGGTACAAGTATCGTCCCCGCAAGGCTGGAGAGGTGCGTCGTCGGCAGCGACGTGCAGTCCGAGGTGTCGCAGCGGCTGTGACTCCACCACAGATTCAGAATGGTACTTTCGGCGAAGGCTTCAGCAATCCAATTGTGTTCAATGCATCCGTGTCTCAACCAAACTCGCTTGGACAGTCAGAGGATCAGCAGAAGACAGGACCCCCAGACGGAGTCAAGCTTGCCGATATGACTCCGCAAGGGACATGGACTCCGGAAGATCCACAACAACCATGGCGCACGGCAGAAGTTACGCGCATGCCTGGCCTAGATGAGATGTTCAGCAAGTCCTACGGCTTGCAGGAAGCTGACCCAGCAACCCTTACCGATGAAGAGTTCATGAAGAATTTGACCAACAGCATCGAGGAAGAGCTTGCTCGGATGGACGATAGTGACAATATGTTCCAATGGGCTCCTCAGGATATGTCTGGCACCGACACCGGCAACGCCGCATGGAGCAGCGACAACTTCGACTTCAACTTGTAAGCAGTGGTAAACCTGATCGTCTTTCCTGTAAGCTCGCTCCAACGTCCAAGAAGCCCACAACAGCCGCTAACAAGACACAGTCTTACGAGCATTACGACAATCGGCTGAACGCTTATGACTATGCAACGGCTGCTCAGACCACTGGGCAAGAGATGTTCTTGGATCGTAACGACATGAGAGGAACGACAACGGGTTTGCTGCAGCTTTGGTTATTCAACCACGGTTGCCACGATTCGACTTTTGGCTTTGAGAGAGTTCTGCACCTTGTACGGACCACGAGAGAAAACTGCTTTTGCATCTGCTTTTTGCATTCACCCATTGGCGGCTAATTGGGAGTCAACGACGACGAGACTCAATTCCCTTTTTCCTTTTGTTCTGTGGTTTTTTCTACCCCCAGAGTTGGACTTGCATCGGAGCCGGAAGAGAAGTTTCAACGAGCTTTCCGACGATGAATTTCTTTTCTCTCTATCACTGGCGAGCATGCTGGTATTGGACGGGGTCGACGGGTCTGTGGGAGTCTACTCAGGCTTTCCAGACTCGGTATGCGGTTTCCTTTCTTGCAATAGGTCTGTCTTTGGAGGAATAGTTGAAAATCGGCGAGTATCTTGTCTTAGTACTAGGACTGCTAGGGATTCTTTTTAAGTCTTAAGCGGACTTGGATTACTTTAGGACTTAATGAGCTCGACCGGAACAGGGTATTGCGACAGTAAATAGAAAAGCCAAAAAAAACAATTCCAAAGCCATAGGCTATAGTATACTTAAATAAATGGTCCTTAGATGCAGGCGTGAGATATAACTCCGGATGCTGAATATGATAACCATAACACACCCCAGGAAGCCAATGCATATAATAAGCATCTACTGCATGATATAGAGAAGCGATGTGCTGAATTTAGCAATGCCAGCCTAAGCTTTAATGGTGTTGTGGTGTTGTCACAGAAGCGGTCGAGACAGCCCTCCCCTCCCGTACTACAACTCAACCACAATAACACAAACAGGTACCTAATAACGCACGAGGAGTTTCCTATAGGTCCATACAACTAGCTCGTATGCGTAGTTTGTCGATAGCTTATTAATAATGCCGTGGCTGAGCCAACTTCCGGGCGTAGGGAGCCTCGTTTCGGGAACCGCAAAGCGTCGGAGGCTATATTTCCAGCAATTCGCGTCTCCCTCTTACTAAACTTGCTGGGGAGGATCCCATAGGTGTAACCATCCTCAGCGTACACTTCATTAGGCTGTGCGGGCAATAGTGCCAAATCTCGCCCAGGGAACGGGACCAAGGGGCGCCAGGAGTCGACGGCATAGAAAGTAAGTCAAAATTAGACCAATCCTAGCCATATTGCACACATAGATGCTCCTAGCCACCCATAAGTATTCTGAATAGGTATCGGTACAGCCAGGCCCTTTGGTCGAAGTATGGCATCCACTCCCTATTCACCCCAGGGGTGTCTCGCAGTGACCAGGGATGCTCGTGCAATTCGAAGTCTTCCGAGCACTCGAGTATTTTTCCAGGGATCCCTGATGCTCCCTCAAGCACCTCCAGCTTCGCAAACCATATGCAACCGGCCAAAATTCCTATGTTTGGTTTTTTCTTTGTCCGCGTACCCCGCCACGCCCTCCCAACGACGGCGATATCCACACAACTCGAAGTCTCCCGAGCACTCGAGTATTTTTCCAGGGCTCCCTCAAGCTCCCTCAAACACCTCCAGCTTCGCAAACCATATGCAACCGGCCAAAATCCTTAAGTTTGGTTTTTTCTTTGTCCGCATACCCCGCCACGCCCTCTCCCCACGCGACGGCGACATCCCCACAACCCGAAGTCTCCCTCACACTCGAGCATTTTTCCAGGGCTCCCCGACGCTCCCTCAACCACCTCCAGCTTCGCAAACCATACGCAACCGGCCAAAACCCGCACGTTTGGTTTTTTTTGTTTTGCTTTGGTCCCGCTAACTAACCTCGTTTCTTGGCGTCTCTTCCCGACTCGACTGGCAGGGCAATGATTTTCGCAACCGCCTTGTTTTCTCCCCAAGCCCCCGGAATTATGTTTCCAGCGGACCACCAGAAAAGCCTCTCCCTCTACCACCTCGGCCCTGCACATCCCCCCCCCTCTCTATGGGGCTAGATTCGAATGTTTGGTTTCCTTTCATCCCCCACAATTTACGTTTTGCGGGGGCGGGTGGATGCTTTGTCCGTCCAAAGCCACGCTCGCTCGCTCGCCCCGCCCACGCTCAGACGCTCGGGGGCGCCACCTCGCCGAGACGAGACGGGAGAGAGGGGACGAGAGCGGGAATCCCAGGCCTTTTTTTTTTTTTTTTCTTTTGGGGTGTGTGCTGGGAAAGGGAAAAGATCCCCGCCCACTGACTGGTCTGCGGCGGGGCCCCCGTTTGCTCGCTCGCTGGGGGACTTGCTGCGGACGCGGCTGGGGAACAGCGCGGCTGGGGAACAGCGAGGCTGGGACAGGGCGGGCAGACGGGAGGGATCGATCCCAAGGCGCTCCTGCTCCTTTGTTTCGGGAGCGGGAAGATAGGGGGGATGGTTCCCAGGATCCGTGGGCGTGGGTTATGCTTCGTGGGGAATCCTAGGCTTTTTTTGGTGCTGGGAAGAAAAAGATCCCCGCCCGCTGGTCTGCGGCGGGTCCCCGTTTGCGCGCTGGGGACTGCTGCGGACGCGGCTAGGAATATGAGACTGGGACGTGGCGGTAAGACAGGAGGGATCCCAGGCCTTTTTCTGGTGCTGGGAAGAAAGATCTCGCTGGTCTGCGGCGGGTCCCCGTTTGCGCGCTGGGGGACTGCTGCGGACGCGGCTGGGAAACATCGAGACTGGGACGTGGCGGTTAGACAGGAGGGATCAATCCCAAGGCGCTCGCTCCCTTTGTTTCGGGAGCGGGAAGATAGGGGGAGATGGTTCCTAGGATCTGTGGGCGTAGGTTATGCTTTAAAGGTGTGAGGACTCGACAGGCAAACAGCAATTAGAAAAGGTTGCATTGCTATGCTATAGAAGTTGTGATACAAAGAGAGAAAGAAGGTCAAGGGCGCGGCTGCTAGAAGTAGGTTCCTGGCGCGTTTGGCGCTAGCTGCTAGTGCGCCCTCCTGATCATCACGTAACCACGTGACGTCTCGTGACTACAGGTGAATGTCGCTTGCAAAACAAAGGAAAAGGCCGTCCAAGGCCTGACAAAAGGAGATCCCAGGCTTTTTTCTGGTGCTGGGAAGAAAGATCTCGCTGGTCTGCGGTGGTCCTGTTGCTCGCTGGAGACTACTGCGGACGCGGCTAGGAATATAAGACTAGGACATAGCGGTAAGACAGGAGGGATCCCAGGCTTTTTTCTGGTGCTGGGAAGAAAGATCCCCACTGTCTGCGGGCGGTCCCGTTGCTCGCTGGGGACTGCGGACGCGGCTGGGAACATGAGACTGGGACATGGCGGTCAGATAGGAGGGATCCCAGGCTTTTTTTTCTGGTGCTGGGAAGAAAGATCCCCACTGGTCTGCGGCGGGTTCCCGTTTGCGCGCTGGGGGACTGCTGCGGACGCGGCTGGGAAACAACGAGACTGGGACATGGCGGTCAGACAGGAGGGATCGATCCCAAGGCGCGCCCTTTGTTGAGGGAGCGGGAAGACAGGGGGAGATGATTCCCAGGATCCGTGGCGTAGGTTATGTTTTGTGGGGATTAGAGATTGTATAAAGGAGATGATGTATAAAGGAGATGTATGAAGGAGATGGCAAAGTATATGGGTTGTGGAAAGGTCTTTTTCTAAAAGGAATAAATAAATAGACGGCAATCGAGGAAAGAATAGAATTATAAGGTGAAATAGAGACTATTGGAAGTTCCTATTGTGGAGCTTTAAGATAGAGAATAGAGAGAATATACGCAGAAACACATATAATACATCTAGCAGGAACACCAAAGAAACAATAGAGATTACTCGGCACGGGCAAGTCGAGGTCACGAATCCATATACACCTTTAATGGACACTACCGAGTATCTGCAATACGCTTGTAGATATAATATGATATGTGAATGCAGTCGCCGAAGCCTACCCAGCTAGGTTATCGACGACACCTACTTTTGAGACGACAACCCTACGTCGAGGCCCCATCCTCTACCAAGCCCAAGGGATCAACCTCGTTCCCACGTTCACCTGCAATAATTCGAGATGTTGGGGTATAGCCAACGTACACGGAAGCTGGTCCAGGATAGTGAACGTCCACCTGCAATTATTCGAGATGTTGGGAATAGCCAATGTACACGGAAGCTGATCCAGGATAGTGAAGCCTCCCTAAAGTCTAAGCACAGTACTAAGCCAAAAGTCTGTGTGCACGAGCTCGGGCGGCGGGTGCCAAGAAGCAGAAGAAACGGGGTCCAGGCGACGGGCTCCAGGCAACGGGCTCAGCGCGACGGGCTCCAAGAAGCAGAAGAAACGGGCGACTGCCAAGAAGCAGAAGAAACGGGCAACAGGCCTGGCAACGGGCCCCAGGCTCCTGGGCTCCAAAAGCAGAAGAAACGGGTGACAGGCGACGGGTGACAGGCGGCGGGTGCCAAGATGCAGAAGAAGCAGAAGAAACGGGCTCCAAGAAACGGGCTCCAAGAAACGGGCTCCAAGAAGCAGAAGAAACAGGCTCCAAAAAGCAGAAGAAACGGGCTCCAAGAAACAGGCTCAAGAAGCAGAAGAAGCGGGCTCCAGGCGACGGGCTCCAGGCGACGGGTGTCGAGATGCAGAAGAAGCAGAAGAAACGAGCGATAGGCGACGGGCTCTAGGCTGCAGGCGACGGGCGCCAAGAAGCAGAAGAAGGGGGCTCTAGGCGACGGGCCCCAGGCGACAGGTGCAAGAAGCAGAAGAAACGGGCTCTAAGAAGCAGAAGAAGCGGGCTCCAGGCAACGGACTCCAGGCGACGAGTGCCAAGAAGCAGAAGAAACGGGCGACAGGCGGCAAGAAACGGGCGACAGGCGGCGGGTGCCAAGAAGCAGAAGAAACAGGCTCCAGGCCTGGCGACGGGCGACAGGCCTGGCGACAGGCTCCAGGCGACGGGCGCCAAGAAACGGGCTAAGGGGGTGAAAACACCAAAATTGCAGCGCCCAATAATAAGACCTAAGAAGTTAGCATTTACTAGAATTAATTAACCTTTTTTAGATAGACTAACGGCTAAGACACTAAAGCAGAGGCTTAAGAATAACTTAGTCCCCTGTAGCCTAATAGAGAAATAGAGAGCTATAGAAGGCCTGCCGATTATAATACCTAATATCTCTAAGATCCTAATACTTATAAATGTTTTCGCTTTTATATCCTAGTAAGTATTAAAAGTAATAAGTATTAGAAACGCAGGCTTAATACCTTTACTAATAGCGTAAAAGAGTAGACCTAATAGAAAATTATAAAACTTCTTTTATTGTCACGATAGCGCTACACGCGAGAGGTCGAGGGCTCAAAGAGGAGCGTTGATTAGGTGCTATGTACAATGCTACGTGGAGAATCAAGACGTTGTGTAAGGAACAGGAAGACGGGAGACGGGCCACCGGATATAAGGGCGTGGCCGAGCGCGTGGCGTACGGCCTCTATGCCGTTTCGGCGCGTGGCACGCGTGTACGCGAGGTCCTTACCAGATCAGGTGATAGGAAAAGGGGGCAGCCGGTAGGTGGCTGGAGCGGGACAGGATAGGAAGCGGAAGCGAGACGGGAGCGGAGCAGGGCAGGCAGAGCAGGAGGCCGGCCAACGGTAGTAGGCCGGTGCAGATTGCTGGAGTTGTAGCAATCTGCGGCAGAATTTCGGTAGGTAGGGTGTCGCGGTCGATACCGTGACAATTAACGCGGAAAGGGCCGATAAACTTATTATTAAGCGCCTTTTTAGCGCGGTCCAGCTTAATATTCTTCGCGTTAAGCCAGACTATATTATTAACGCGTATATCTGCCGCAGTATTATAGTAGCGGTTGGCTTAGTAAGCTTATTCCTTCTAAGCCTATATAATATAGTTCTATAGGTAGACCTTAATATCCTTAAGGTATTAAGTAAGGTTATTAGCTAGTTTGCGTTTAACCTTCCTATTTTTAGAAATCTTCTTACTATTAGCTAGAGGCAGTTCCAACTCTAAGCGTGGATTATAGCCGTAATTAGCAAAGAAAGGGGATAGGCCTGTTATAGCTAAAACGTAGGTATTAGCAACTAGTTCTGCAGAAAGTAGTAAGTTATACTAGTTATTTTATATATACTATATATAAGCCTATAGGTACTTCTTTATATTAGTATTAGCAATTTCCGTTTAACTATTTATTTCTAGGTAGAAGGCGGTGGACGTATTAAGTAACGATTATAACTAATAATAGAGGTGCCGCCAGAACTCGGAGGTAAATTATGTGCCTAAGTTGCTAGTAATAGATGCTAGCAGGCTGTAGAGCCGGTATATCTATTGGAAATAGACTTCTGCAAGCTTATCCGCTTCTAGTAAAGTAATAGTAAGGAAGTAATATTCCTTTAAAAGTTAATTAATTATAATAAGTATATAATAATACTTACAGCCGTAATATTTACAGATAGGCAGGTCTATAATATAGTCTATAGCAATATCACGCCAGTAATAAAATAGAACGGGCAGGGGCTATAGGAAACCTTGCTTAGTAAAGTTAGATAGCTTAATATTATAGCAGCGTTGGCAGGCGTTAATATATATTATAATTAATTTAGTAAACTATAGCTAGTAGTAGCTAGGTTATATATACTAGAGGCAATTAGCGTATCCTTTATACCCTGTGCTGGTATAATTATAACCTAGCTGTATAATCCTAAGTTAGAGGGCGGCTAATTAAGGAATAAATAATTGTCTAGAGTCTTTATAGCATACCTATAGCCTGCTGTCTACAACTTCCAGCTCGCTTATAGATAGTTGCACGCGCTTATCCCTTAGGATATCGCGTAGCAGTTTACGGTCGCCGCGCTGCTTTAATACTATAATCTAATATATAAAATAAGTTAGTAAAGTATTATTAATACTGCTGCTATTATTAAAAGCAGCCTTATCTATATTATAGGCTTTCTTAATAAGTTTATAGAGGGGCTTATTATAGTTAGCTTCTATAATACCTATAGCGCGGAGGTAGAGGTCTTTAGACACTTTAGCAGCAAGGTTCTTTATTTTAATTACGGTTTGCTGTTGGAACAGGAAGCGTTTGTTATTATCAGACTGCGGAAGATCTTAGCTTCGGCGTATAAGGCTATTGTCACGGTATCGACCGCAACACCCTACCTACCGAAATTCTGCCGCAGATTGCTACAACTCCAGCAATCTGCACCGGCCTACTACCGTTGGCCGGCCTCCTGCCCTGCCTGCCCTGCTCCGCTCCCGTCTCGCTTCCGCTTCCTATCCTGTCCCGCTCCAGCCACCTACCGGCTGCCCCCTTTTCCTATCACCTGATCTGGTAAGGACCTCGCGTACACGCGTGCCACGCGCCGAAACGGCATAGAGGCCGTACGCCACGCGCTCGGCCACGCCCTTATATCCGGTGGCCCGTCTCCCGTCTTCCTGTTCCTTACACAACGTCTTGATTCTCCACGTAGCATTATACATAGCACCTAATCAACGCTCCTCTTTAAGCCCTCGACCTCTTGCGTGTAGCGCTATCGTGACAGATAACAGAAAGCACTTTTAGGAACTGCTAGATAGATAGGGAACTATCTAAAGAAATAAAACTATTCTCTTTAGGAAAGTAGAATTCTTAAACTTTTAAGTAGCAGAAATAAAAGCATTCCTGGACTGCAGGGCTTTCTATAACTTTATTTTATATAAACTGGCGCACTAACTAAACCTAAATATCTAACCCCTAAAGAAGAAAAAAAGAGTACACTTCTACTAAGGTGCCGACGGACCTAAGGAGTAGATAATAGAATATACTAAGTTTCCCTTATAAATAGGGAAGCACTTTAAAATCCTCCGCTGCTATATAGTACGCAGCTGCAGGCGTTATAAGCTTATTTTAGGCTACTGTTAGTTTAAGATCTATAACTATATATTATAAGTAGGATAAGGAAAGGTTTTCTTTAACAGCGCCTACTATCTGCAGCACTGTAATATTACTCGCTAAAAAGTAATAGTTAAGGCCCTGCCTGTAATATAACTCTTAGGAATACTAGGAGCGCAGACCGGCCTACCCTTATAACCTAGATATATTTCTAAAACCTCTTTAGCACCTATAATAAAGAACGCACGCAAGAGGCTGCAGGAAGCTGTAAAATAATACTTTCTTAGCCCTATTATACTAGGCAATACTATAGACAGTATAGAGATTAAATACTATACTAGACCTATAATTAAATAATATGCTAGGCAGAAAAAATAGGGTAAAACAGCTAAAACCTACCTTTTTACCTATAATATACTGCTAGAAGTCTCTATAAACGGGATTAAGGTTAGCAAAATAATAGAGGAAGGTTTCTGCAAGTTTATAAATCCTAAGAAGGACGCCGCTATTAAAGCTAAGATGCCGGAGCTTTATAGCGCCTAGAAGGACCTCTATCACCGCCCTTTTTCTAATATACTACCTAAGTATATAAATAGAGATTATAATATTAAAATTAAGGAAGAAGCTAAACTCTCTTTAAGAAAACTGTACCTAATATCCCGGATAGAACTTAATGCTATCTAAAAGTATATTAATAATATAACAGTAAAGGGATTTATTAAACCCGCTCTAGAGGATATAAATTCCCTATTACTAGTTATACAGAAGCCTGGAGAAGGTATATATATTTGCGTTAACTACTAAAAACTTAATAATGCCACTATTAAGGACTAATATCCTTTACCCCTTATTTAAAAGACCTTAGCTAGACTATCTAAGGCTAAGATTTTTATAAAAATTAATATTATTGCAGTATTTAATTGCGTCCGAATAAAGCCGGGTATAGAATAGTTAACAGCCTTTTCTACTTGCTATAGAACTTACTAGTACCGCGTAATGCCTTTTAAGCTATATAATGCACCTGCAACCTTCTAATACTTTATTAATACTGCTCTTTATAAGTATCTTAATAAGTTTATTACTATATACTTAGATAATATCCTAGTATATAGTAAAAGTATTAAAAAACACCCTACTTATATAAAAAGTGTTTTTACTTAACTACGCAATAAAGAACTATACGCCGATATTAATAAGAGCAAGTTTTATATAACTAAAGTAAAGTTCCTTAGTTTAATAATCTCTATAAGTAGGATTAAAATAGACCTAGTTAAGCTAGAAGCTATCTATAACTAGCAGCTATTCTATACTATTACCGGACTTCTAGGGTTCCTAGGTTTTACAGGATTCTACTAATAGTGTATTGCAGGATACTCTACTATTGTATATTTCTTAACTAATACTATAAAGGGCACAGGCTATTCTAAGGGAAAACTAACTAAGGTCTAAGTTATACCGGAATTCTAAGCTACTTTTTAATAACTTAAGAATGCCTTTAAAGAAAACTAGATTTTTATTACTTTTAACCCTAACAAAGATATATATATATTTTGCAATAGCTCTAGATAGGCAGTAGAAGGCACCCTTAAGCAGAAGGGTACAGATAGTAAATTATACCCTGTAGCTTTCTTTTTAAAAAAAATACACCTTAGCAGAATCTAATTATAATATCTATAACTAGGAACTTATAGC